TATCTGTTAAAGGGAAAATATAAATAAAATGCTATAATTTATATAAAAATAACATTTCAGACATAGCTCCAAAGTACAAAACATAGAGCTAAGATCTGCAGAATTTGCATCAATGTGAAATTTTTATTGGAAAAGATGTATGTAAAATTCCCAGATTTTCTTGTAAGGTAAAATAATACCATAAAATAAAAAGAATTAAGATTTATTCAACAACAAGGTAGTTGACTAAGAGTTCAAATAAAAAGTAGAATGTCAGTGCTGGAGTTTCTAACATGTAGGCCATAAGCCCATGAGAGGTTAGAAATGAACACAATGGCCTAAAAATCCTTTTGTGTCAAACATCAGAAGATAAGCTAGATAACTGGGATCTTCTAAAAAGTAAATATTTATGTTCATCAAAAGACTTCACCAAAAGTGTAGAAAGAGAACCTACAGACTGGGAAATATTTTGGGCTATGACAAATCTGACCAAGGTCTAATCTCTAAAATCTACAGGAAAATCCAACACCTCTGCAACAAAAAGACAAATAATCCAATTAAAAAATGGGCAAAGGAAATGAACAGACACTTCACCAAAGAAGACATTCAGGCAGCTAACAGACACATGAGGAAAGGGTAGAGATCACTAGTCATTGGAGAAATGCAAATCAAAAATACAATGAGATACCATCTCACCCCGACAGTACTGGCACAAATCAAAAAAACAGAAAGTAACAAATATTGGAGAGGCTACAGGAAGCTTGGAACTCTTATGCACTGCTGTTGGGAATGTAAAATCGTACAATCATTTAGGAAAACGATATGGTGCTTCCTTAAAAAGCTACAAATAGAAATATCATAGAATCCAGTAATCCCATTCCTAGGAATATATGCTAGAGAAATAAGAGCCATCACACAAATAGACATGTGTACACCCATGTTCATTGCAGCATTATTCACAATAGGAAAAAGATGGAAACAACCTAAGTACTCATCAACAGATGAATAGATAAACTATGACACATACACACATTGGAATACTACACAACAATAAAGAACAATGATGAATCGGCGAAACATTTCACAACATGGATTAACCTGGAGGGCACTATGCTGAGTGTAATAAGTCAATCACGAAAGGACAAATACTGTACGAGACCACTATTATAAAAACTCATGAAAAGGTTTACAAACAAAAATTAACAATCTTTGATAGTTACTAGGAAGGGGAGGTGTGGAGAGGGAAAAACACCAACTAGACAACAGATAAGTGGAAAGTTTGGGACAGGGTAAGACAGTACACAATTCTGGGGAAGTCAGTACAACTTAACCAAGGCAAGGTCATGGAAGCTTCATAGACACATCCAAACTTCCTGAGGGACCAAATTACTGGACTGAGGGCTGAGGACCATGGTCTTTGGGGACAATCTAGCTCAACTGGCATACCACAGTTTATAAAGAAAATATTCTGCATCCTACTTTGGTGAGTAGTATCTGGGGTCTTAAAAGCTTATGAGCAGTCATCTAAGATACTCCACTGGTCCCACCCTGTCTGGAGCAAGGGAGAATGAAGAAAACCAAAGACACAAGGGAAAGATTAGTCCAAAGGACTGATGGACCACAACTACCACAACCTCCACTAGACTGAGTGCAGCACAACTAGATGATGCCCGGCTACCAACACCGACTGCTCTGACAGGGATCACAATACAGGGTCCCAGACAGACATGGAGAAAAATGTAGAACAAAATTCTAACTCACAATAAAAGACCAGACTTACCGGTCTGACAGAGATTGGAGAAATCCTGATAATATGGCCCCCGGACATCCTTTTAACTCAGTACTGAACTCACTGCTGAGGATCACCCTTCAACCAAAGATTAGACAGGCCCATAAAACAAAACAAGACTAAATGGACACACCAGCTCAGGGGCAGGGACAAGAAGGCAGGAGGGGACAAGAAAGCTGGTAATGGGGAACCCAAGGTTGAGAGGGGAAGAGTGTTGACATGTAGTGAGGTTGGCAACCAATGTCACAAAACAATATGTGTATTAATAGTTTAATGAGAAACTAATTTGCTCTGTACACCTTCATCTAAAGTAAAGTAAAAAAATAAAAATCCTATGTGGTCCAACACTGTCTAATGCTAGTTTTTCAGGACAATCAATAATTTGCAAATTTAAGTAACCAGTTTATTCTGAAATATTTTTTCAAAAGTGTCTCTTATTTCTAGGTAAGAAGCAGTATACCTCACTTTCTTTATCAGGATATTTTTCAACCCACATTCTTGGGAGATATGCATCAGACAAACCGATGTGGAGAGAAAATCCATTGCTGTCTAAGGAACTACCTTCCACAGTGCTAATTACAGCTTTGCAGTCTGTGTGCTACAAAACAAACAAACAATGACAATAAATCATGGATTAATATCACATTATCAGTTTGCATATACCTATCAAGTAGGAAAACCTAGTCATTTGCATTAATGAGCACAATTATTGTAATTCCATTAACATTAATGATCAATTACCTGAATTATATTAACTACATTAATAATATAGTCATAAATAAATTACAAAATTATGGAATGTAAGTTTTAGCAGTGTGACCATTATCACATCAGTTACTCTCCTAGAATTCTAAGATTAATTTATAAAGATACATTTAGGCGGAAAGATGCAGTTTGAGGCAGTCTCAAACCCTGAATCCAAAGAATATAGACCTGTGTATTTAAATTTATCTGAATATAGCAGAAAGCTATATATACCAGATACATATTATGTACCAAATAATCATAACCTGCAGTAGTAAAATAGAAAATTAAATAAAAATCTGAGAATTATACACTATATATAAATTATATTTTAATAGATATGGAATGATTTTTAAAAATGTAAATGATAATTGGGAGAAAGATGTGGCAGTCTGCTTCTGTAAATTTTTACAGCCTTGGAAATCCTATGCGACAGTTATACTCTGTCCTGTAGAGTCACTATGAGTCTTAATCGACCTGAAGGCAATGGGTTTGGTTTTTTGTTTTTTGAGTTTTTTTCTTTTAAAGAGTACTATAAGCATGAAATTGTGGTGTGTGGTAAATATTTTTTTACGTTGCCTGTCCCAGAAGGATGAAAGTGAGCCTTTAAGTTATGGCAAAATGTAGCTTCCCTCACTTGTCATACTCCCCAAACTGAAGTTCAGAGAAAAGAATTATTTGTTCGCATCAAATTAAAATTAGAATAATATTAGCTATAAAGAATATAGAACACCAAAAGCTGCCTAACACTTGAACGTTTATTCTGAATGGGAAGAACCAGTGTAAAATTTTAATCCTTACCAAAACTTACCTTTAGTCAGAACGCTCAAGTTCTCAGAGACCCAGGCATAACTGATGAAACTTTCTTCCAGGACTTTAGAAAACAGATTCTGACTATATTCAGGGCTTTTTTGTTATTTTCATCTTTTTCATGAGTTGATGGTCATTTTACTGTTCATGTTTGTTTCACAATAGAATTGCCATGTGTTCTGATTCCAGTGTTGGATAGCATTAAGTTTTGAATGTGAATGTGATACATGGCGAGGTATGTAATTTTTTTTTTAACAATAATTAGCCACGATATGTAAGAAAAATCCCACTGTCTCCTATAAGGAAGAAGCCCTGGTGGCGCAGTGGTTGAGAGCAATTTACTAGCAGGATCAATCATAAATATTGTAAACTGATTCCCACATGCTAGGATATAGTTACTGGTGCAACTGTTGTTCTGCTGCTATAGTTAATCTATAAATTTCATCCTCTTTTTAAAAATTTTTTTTTAATCTTACTGAAGATTTAATAAGTGTTTAGGTAGCTTTTGAAAGGATGTATCACTGATAAACTCTAGAGACTACCACTTGACATACAAAAATTTGATGTTAAAACCACCTTTACTGCATTTCTAGAGGATATCTTTATTTTATTTCATTTAAGAGAATTTTAAATGAAGAAAAAGAAGTTTGTTAAATTATCATTATGACACTTTAGTTAGCATTTGTTTCCAAGAATGTGTAGTGCATTTTCCACAAAATAAACGTAGGTGTTAATCAGAGCAAAAGTTTATGGCTTATGCTAGGAAGAGCAGTGGTTCACATTATTTACACACAAACATAAATCTACAAACACAAACATACACACAGACACACATCCCCCATATAGGCAAAATGTAACATATTAGCTTCTGATAGTTCAGTATTTTTTCCAAACTTGCAATAGGTTGTAGGTTAATGCTAAGGCTATTAATTCTTTTTTATTTATTATTTGTAATCATTGATTGTTCTGTTCCCTTAATGATGGGTTTTAAAAGTAAAAGTGAATGCTCAATGTCAGTTTGAGAACCTACATGCTATGAGCATTCCTGGGAAAGTTGTAATGACATCAGGATACATCTGTGTGGTACATAGATACTATTATCTCCATTCTTCATCCTCAGTCTTAATCTCTCCCTCCTGGATTTCACCATATTTCACTGTCACTTAACAAACGTTTATGTTAAACAGGATAAAAATAGCGACCCTCTGGATCTCCGTGCTGTGGCACAGCTCTGAACTGAGTGCTGTGGTGAGCTGCAGTGATTTATTTGCATACATTATCGTTTGATGGTGAAAATATTTGTTTCTGTTCAAGTGTTTCATGATTCAAATTTTGTAAGTTTAATTAAAGTACTGCATAATTTTGATTGGTTCAGAAACCATTAAAATGATCAAGCAATTAAAAAAATGTAGATGATAAGCTTAAAGACAATGCGGTAGATGCAAAAATGGCCACAAATTCTTACCATCCTTGTATGTTTGCCTTTTTGCAAGGTGACTCTGCAGCTCCTCCCATCAGGAGGTGGCAACTATTTCTCCACTCACTGAATCTGCAGTTGGACATGTGACCTTCTTTGGCCATTAGCTAATGTGATATAAGCAGATGCCTGAAAAGTGTTCGTGTAACTGGGCTTGCCCTCTCTTGTTGCTACTGCGACCTCTCTCATTACTATATGAATGAGCCCGAGTTAACCAGCTGGATGAGTCATATGGCCATCACTCCAGCTGACACCAGGCCAGCAACCAGGTAGTGTGTGGGGCTACCCTAGATCATCGTGTCCCAGCCAAACTGACCCAGACCAGAACTGTCCATCAGTCCACAAAACTGTGAGAAACAATAAATGCCCTGGTGGTGCAATGGTTAAAACCTCAGGCTGCTAACCAAAATGTCGGCAGTTCGAATCCACCAGCCACTTCTTAGAAACCCTATGGGGCAGTTCTGCTCTGTCCTATAGGGTCGCTATGAGTCGAAATTACCTCAGCAGCAACAGGTTTGATTTTTTGTTTGCTGTATTGTTTTAAGCCCACAAAGTTTTGGGGTTGTTACACCAAAAAAGCTAACTGGGCTTCTCGTTCAGGTTGGATTAAACATGTTTATCTCCTCTCCCTAGCAAAATCCTAAATCTCCCTTCCATGAAAGGAAAGCATTAAGAAAGGGTATAAACCCATAAGCTACAGCAGATGAGTGATGTCAACAAATTTTAGAAAGAGGGAAAGTTGATGGAGGCATGTAAACTAACTTAGCAAGAGTGGCAGAAGCTACCACCTGAGGGTCTGTAGAGGAAATAGCCACAGGCAGTGGGCTAACTAGCCCTGCAACAACTTGGGGAGGCTCACAAGTTGGAGGTACCAGGCACTGCAAAAACAGAGGTCCTAGTTAATCCACCATGTACTAAAGTGTCAGACCCCTAGGTCCCCTCCCCTGTCCACCCTAAGCATTCAAGCAGCTAGTACCATTTGTCCTTGTTCTCTCACTGAAGAAAACTGGAGGCTTATTACTTAGAGAAATTCAACTAACTATGATGTAGACTCAAAAATGCTAGGCGTAATAAAGAGTAGAGTAGAGTACAGGGCAGCAAATGAGGATTAGTGAGGGTCAGCATGCTGAAACTTGGAACCCTTAGCTACCCTCCCCACCATGCCGCATGAACATCCTTACAGAGGTTCTGGATAATCACAGAAGAATGCAAGTGTCATTATGATACAATCAAAAAGCCAACCTCCCACCTGGTGACTCTCTAGTGCAGGTCTTTGGTCAACTAGCCCCACCAACCCACAGAGCTTCTAACTGGCTTTTTTGTGTCTTAACCTTAAATATGAACACATAGAGGGTCACCAGACATATGAGGAAAAACCTTGCCGTAGTGGAAAACACCAGACTTATACTCCGCTAGAAATAAAAACAAATAGTTTTATTGAAGGAGGAAAAAAAAAAAATTTCTCAAAATGGCGAGACACACAAGTATTCATGCAAGAGGCTGCAGTGTGTGTTCCAAATTGCAGAGAAAGAGAACAGTTTTTATCCGGTGAAACAGAAAAAGGATCATACTCGCAGGCAGGGGTGGCAGGAAACGTGCTAATAAACACACATGGGAGAATTACATTGGCGAAAAGTTACAGGGGTTTGTTAAACTGTAATCTTCAACATTTAACATCCGTTAACATCCTGAGATTCTTACATCCTGAGATCTGTTAAATAAAGCATCTTTTCAGAAATAAATAAGACAACTTTCTGTCACAGATGTATGCCTACCTCTCCCCTCAAGAGGCTCCTGTCTTTACCTTAGTTACAGATTTACAAAGAGTCAGAAGAAATGAAGCAGAAGACCTCAGTGAGTGAAAATGAAGTTTGATTAAGACTTGGTTAATTGATGTTCTCACAGAGTTATGAGACATTGAGAGGCTCCATTTACTTAACATTGTTAATTCCATTTATTAACCTCCTGTTGACAAAAGTATCTTTTCTGAGGCAAGCTGTGTAAACAGTCTTAACAGATATCCTAACAAACAATTCCCCATTTAAGCCAGAAATCCTGACTCTTACCCTCTTTGTATAAGCAGGTAACTTTGACAAAAAGGCTGAATTGTCTTTTCAGAACAACAGAGGCAAAGGCTTTTAGGCTAGGTTACAATTTTTATTCAAAATGCAGTTTAATTTAGATCTGGGCCAGTCCCTCCTTGTTACATCAAGCACCTCGGTTTTAGGTCTGCATACAATCTCTAATATGATATATGGAAACCAAAAGAAACTATCAGAAAAAAACAGGAAAAAAAGGAACTCAAAGAAAGGAGACACAATGCAGGGAACAGAAGAAAAAATATATTATTAATATTATCAAAGAGATGAAAGAAAGTATTGCATCCATGAAACCAAAAGAAGATGGTATAAGAAAGGAATACCTACAGAACAGAAAATAGCTCTTACAAATAAAAAATATGAGAATAAAATTAAAATCTCAATAGAACAGTTAGAATTTAAAATTGAGAAATCAGAAAGTAGAACAAAAAGATAATAAAATGGATAATAGGAGAAAAAATATAAGAT